GCGCCGCCGTATGGCGACTGCTCCTGGCGCTCACGGACGGAGGACGCCGAGTCTTCATGCAGTGGATCCCAGCGCACTGCGGAATACCCGGCAATGAGAGAGCGGACGTGCTGGCTAAAGAGGCATCCAGCCTGTCGCAAGACGCCGTCCCAACGGACGTCCGCTCGATGGTGAAGGCAGTCGGCCGCTCCGCCACCAAGGCATGGCGTCGCAGCTGGCCAGACAGCTTCTTCAAAACCATCATGGGAGACCGGATGCCGATGCCGGTGCTCCTGGAGTCTCGCGACGAGGCGGTCAACGTCCACCAGCTGCGGGCGGGACACTGGAGCCGCTCGCAGAGCTACCTTCACAGAATCGGACGCCGCCCCGAGCGCGACTGCCCACAGTGCAGTGATCTGGCCTGCCCGGCGGCGCGCTGCCTGGTGTGTCGCGAGGGCCCAGACACGCCGGAGCACGTGCTGCTGAGGTGCCCGTGCTTGGCTGGCGCGAGGCTCCGCCTACTCGGCAATATCAGACCGGACCCTACGCAGCTTCGGGACGGCGGGGCCGTGGCGGCCTTGAGCCGCGGCTACCTCAGTCACCAAGAGCCGTTTGGCTACGGTCGGCCGTGAGCCGACCCGGGGAGACCAACAACAACAACAACAACAAGGGCCCTCAAAGGCCAAGATGGGCCCTCAGACGCCGATGCGGGCCCTGAGCGGCCGGCACTGGCTCATCAGAATCCAGTGCGGGGGGCCCTCAGAGGCTAATGTGGGTCCTTACAGGCCAACATGGGCCCTTAGAGGTCAGTGTGGGGCCCTAAATGGCCGGCATGGGCCGGCGTTGGACCCCAGAGACCAGCGGAGGGCCCTCAAAGGCCAAGATGGGCCCCCAGAGGCCGATGCTGGCTCAACATCGGGTCTTCAGAATCCAGTGCGGGGCCCTCAGAGACACTTAAAGGCTAGTGTCGGGACTCGAGAGACAGAAATGATGCCACCAGAGGCCGGTGTGAGGCTCTCAGACGCCGGTTGGGCCCCTGAGGCCGGTTTAGGGGCCCTCAAAGGCCAGTGGAGGGCCCTCAGAGGTCAATACGGGTCCTCAGCGGTCAATGTGGACGCTTGACCGCCACTGAAGGGCCCTCAGAGGTCAATGTAGGACCCTCAAAGACTGGTATGGGAGCTGTTAATAGCTGGCGTGGGTTTCTCGAGCCTCGTGACAATCGAATACGGGCCAGGGCCCCATACGGCCATGGGGGCCCATTGGTTGTTTGGGGGGGCCAAATGATATGATGGCCCCCCCTGATTTGCCTTTGGGGGGGGGGCATGGCCCTGATGCCCCCCCCCCCTGCGACCGCCACTGTTTGTGACTGTCTGGTTTTATGACAGGATTTAATAGCACTGTTTCTGGTAGTCTATTTATGGGTCTACATTTGTTACATAAATGGGCGAGCACACAGCTGTCCATTCATACTTTTCTCGTTGACGCCGTTTAGTGTGGCCGTCCCACGGGCGCTAAGCGGACCTGTCGGACCAGTCGCCAGTGTAAGTCGTCCAGCGCGTGATAAGCAGCTCAGAGTTTCCGGAGAGCGGTGTCACGCGGGCGCCCGACACGTGATCCCGGTGGTCACCACCTGTCACTCAGTGGGCCAACACTTTACCCCACGCATTCCGCGCGACCCCCGGAGCCACTAATGACACCTGCTCCTTCCGTCGGCGCCCGCTACTTTGTCCAGCACTATGTGGCGTCTTTGTCCACCTCTGGCGATCCGTCAGCGGCTGATGACCCGCTGACGGCGGCTGATGACCCGCTGACAGCGGCCGGATCTCCCCCCGCCCGGTGCTGACAGATCGGTCGGCCGACGCCCCGGCGGCGCTAAGATGCCTCTCGTGTCGCGCCGATCAGCGGCGGCCCGCGCCGTGTTTTGCCGCGCTGCGTCACAGTTCGTCCGCCGGCGGCTCGGTGCACTGCACTGGTGACGGACGGCGCCGCGCCGCGGATCGGGTGCAGACAATGGGCCGGTCGGGCGGGCTGGTGACCCGACGGCAGGAGTCAGGTGGGGGCGACTGGACTGTTCGGTGTCCTGGCCTCAGGCCCGCCCCCGCCTTCCAACTTCCATGTCTGTTAAACCTACCAGGTACGATGCATGGAGCATCCATCATGCCATCATGGCGGGAAGCCACGACGGTGTTCCTTTTAGATCACGGTGCTTCTTCCACATTAGGGTGCTCCTTTCAGGCAAGGCGCCAATCCAGCAGTAGGAACACGCATAGGCATGTGCTTAATGGAGTCCGCACTAAAAGAATATTCGCCTGTTGATATGTTTAGGAAGGCGGAGGAAATATACGTGTGTGTGGACTAAGTTATGGTCGTATGTAGGTAGTACCTATGTACCCGTACCGGCTATATCGCAATATCAAATGTCGCTGGAGTTACATGGGCTACTGTTTGCTATGGTTGGATTGGATGCCCTTAAAATGCAGAGTTTAAACATTTCCTTTACAAGGTTTCTGTTTTAGCGACCCCTGTAACATTGCGGACTCTTCTGTTTTCGAACATTGACACAACATTGACACAACATTGTGAAAAACAGCGTAGGAAGAAGAGGCACGCTACATTGTTTAATGGCTTATTTACTCCAATCCCTTATATTCAGTGATAAGAACAACCTTACTTTCTTACGAAAAAGATAGATTTATTTGGGCCTATAGCGTTCGGAAATTCTGGCGTTATTTCGGTCACGCCGTCCGGCTGCCGACACGGGAGGTGTTTCAGGCGGTGTCGGCTGTCGCCCGGCGCGGCGGCGCCCCGTTAGAGTGCCCGCTGCTGGCACGGCTCACACCTCGGACAAGCTCCGCGCGACACGGCAGTGGCCAGAGATGACGTCAGACGGTGACCACACCGCCGCCGAGCTGCATCCACTAAGTGTTTATATGGGCGTGATGGCTTATCGTGGCTTGATTAGGCTAAATGACCTTTATTTTGCATCCATGATCGGGCATCTGATGCATACCAAACAGCGCGAAATATACTCGGTATTGCCGGGTTTGAACGGCACTCGTGCAAACTCCCCAGGGCACTTCGTTTTTGTCTCACTGCATTGGAAATTGACACATGCAATGGCTACAACATGGACGCAACAGCAAGTACATGGAAATACAGTAGGAAGTCATGCATATACGATGACTGCGTGATATTTATATGCTGGTCTCCAACGAGGCGTCGTCGCCAACCGTTTCCATCTTATTGATCTTAAGTGCACCTACATGGAAATAAGCTGCACATAAACTATCGCTACCGGACAGATGAAGTTAATTTTATGCACAAGATTGTTCGACTTTTGTTGTCACAAAGCTAATCGACGATTTACCATTAGCTCACATGCTGAAGTAAGGCAACTGTCCGGTGAATTGGAAATGAGCAGTAGGCAATTTGCATTTGGCTGAGAACCAAAACGTCCGCGAGAAACTTTGAAAATGGCGCAGAAGCTGCCTTCCTCCCCCCCCCTGCCGATCAGAGCGAACGCCTTCCCCGATATACGAGGGGGTATCGAAAAGTTCTGATCATCACATAGAAGATATAAAACGATTTTGATGATTTTTGCTTGGTATTATATTTGGTTCTTTAGAACAATGTTCCCGCAAAGAGAATCCTGAGAAGTGGTTTTATCTTATGTAGGAGAGACTTGGAAGTAAAAAAGATGAGTATTGGGCCCATTGAGGACCGAACCGTCATCCAACTAATGCATTTGAAACGGTATCACACTGAGAAATTACATCAAGAACGTGAAATTAGTTTATGGCGAGGAAAGCCCATCTCATGCACTTACCGAAAATGAAGAAATAATTTTCAACTTGGTTGCATGACCCTTGCAGGGGAGTCAAGACGTGAGTGACTACCAGTGACTGACAAGGTGGTGACTGTGATGGAAGTGGAGGACCTCATCCTTACAGATCGTTGTGTGACCTTTCAGATGATTGTGCAACAGAAAGGTCTCAATGCTGGCAGTGCCTGAAAATATTATCAGCGAAGAACTACAGACGATAAAAGAGGCAGCCCGCTTAGAAGTTCGTGTGTCTACTTTGTTCAAGAGAAAAATGCGTCTTGGCCTTTCGAAATGAAAACTAGGCCTTTTTTAAGAAATTGAAGACATCTTCGATCATTTGATGACTTGTGACGAATGCTGGGTCTATGTGCATGATCCAGAGACAAAAAGATGATCAAGAAGTTTAAGCACGGCACATCTGTCCTTCTTAAAAGGTGAAGATGCAGAAGCCGATATGGAAGGTCAATGCTATCAGTGTTCTGGATCTGGCGTAGGATAGTCATTACCGACTGTCTTGATGATGGTCGGCTAATGATAAGCAAGCACTACTGCACACTTTTGAAGAAGTTGCGAGATGGCCTCAAGCAGAATCGCCGCAAAAAAGCCCAAGAAAGATGCTTTATCCGCACCGACAGCGCCCCGCCCATTCGTCCTGAGCTGCGATTGAAGAAACAACATGATGTGGACATTAAATCCTACCGCATCTAAGAAATTCACATGACCGGGTATTAGCTGACTCTTGATTGTTACGGGAGATGAAGAATCCACAGTATGGCTGGTGATTTAAGGACAGAAATGACGTCATTGATGACGTGGAGCAGTGATTTACGGGACAATGCGAAGGTCCTACAATGGCCGCCTGAGGCAGCTCAAGAAACGATGCAATAAGTTTGCGGTCGTGTGTGGTGACTTGTAAAGGAGTAATGAACATCATGTAAAAAATTCAAAATTCTATCACATCTAATTCATGGTGATGATCAGAACTTTTCGATACCCCCTCGTACGCTGGAGCTTCCATCCGATCTGACCAGCCGCCTCCCCTCCACCCGATCTGACTGGGCTCCTCCCCTCCACCATCTTACCAGCCGCCTTCCCCGGTCTGACTGTCCACCCCCTCCCCTTCCTGACCAGCCGCCTCCCCTCCCGCGAGGTGCCTGTGTCCTCCGATCTGACCGGCTGCCGCCCCGTGTCGTTACAGCGGTACCGTCGCGTGCTGGAGGGTCCCGCGCTGCTGGTGGCCATGTCGGCCGTCCTGCTCTCGGTCCGGCTCCTGGTGATGGGCTCTCGGCCGCCCGAGTTCTCTCCGTCCGATAACCCGGCGGCCGACAGCGACTCGCTGCTGGTGCGCACGCTCACCTTCCTTCACCTGCCGGCCGTCAGCCTGGGCCTGCTGCTCTGTCCCAGCACGCTGAGCTTCGACTGGTCGATGGACGCCATCCCGCTGCTGACGTCCCTCTCCGACCCGCGGAACCTGCTCACCCTGGCGCTGTACGCCGGAGCCGCCGCGCTGGCGGCCGCCGTGCTGCGACAGATGCACACCGACCGGCGCGCCTACTACGTGGAGCGGGTGCGCTCCTACCTGCGCGCGCAGGACGCGGCCGGCTGCTCGGACGCCGAGTCCGAGTCCTCGGCGGCCTCGGCCGAGTCCGGCTTCAGCCAGCTGGACGCCGTGATCCTGGGCGCCGCGCTGCTAGTCATCCCCTTCCTGCCCGCCTCCAACCTGTTCTTCTACGTCGGCTTCGTGGTGGCGGAGCGGGTGCTGTACATCCCGTCGATGGGCTACTGCCTACTGGTGGCGGCCGGGTTCGGCGCGCTGCGGACGCGGTTGCGGCGGCGCGGTCGGGCGGCCGCTGGCGTGGCGGCTGTGGCCCTCCTGCTGGCCATGGCCGGCCGCACTTACCTGAGGAACCTCGACTGGAGGACTGAGGAGCGCCTCTACCGGTCCGGCATCGCCGTCAACCCGCCCAAAGGTCGGTTAGCGTGACAGCTTAGCAACGCTTGGCTACACAGAGATGTGTGTGCATAATAGTGTCAATCTAAACGGTAACGTTGAAGCTCAGAATAGGATCACCACTGAGGGCCCAAATAACTTCCCGTGTATTCAGAGTAGCATGCCTTTATTTTTATTTTGTAATAGTGCTAAGCTCATTGCCGATGCACGGGGCCGCATTATTTACTTCTACATCCAGTATAGCATTAGCTGGGGAGGTTGGAGGACAATGTACATACGTACATACCCGCTGACAATGCTGAGGCTGGCGACGGGATATCCTTTTCTGAACGTCACCTGGCCCAGCAACAGGCCGTTGACCCGAGTAGTTGTACCCGGTCAGGTAAAGGGCCTCTCCACCCTACATGAGGGGGCGGTTCCCAGTGGGGGGACCCCAACATGGCCAAATGATGCGCAGACACGCGACACCGGCAGCGGTTTCGTGTTTCCTCGGCGACGTGTCGAGGCGGTTCTTAGAGACCGCACTTCATCTTTTTTCAAACATGCTGATAACTTCACTGTGATGCTCCTTCCTTTTTCACTGATAAATCGTCTGGACTCTGGTCCTTGGACAGGAAAAAGTCGTTCAGTTTATGGTTCTGTCATTGTATTACAATTGTTATACCATTAGCCAGTTTTTATATTTAGATATCAGGTTTGGTTGACATTTAGTGCCGTAATGTATTGCATTGTAAAAAGTGCCGATTCGTGATCAGTCACGCGAATCAAACCGAGCCATTGACATTGGCATGCTCCGAATTAAGAAACTTTGGATTCTTTTGTCTCCGGCCGCTTGACTGTTTGGTCGGTGACGTTTTCAGCGTACGGCAACCTGGCCAACATCCTGAGCTCCAACGGGATGAAGGAGGAGGCCGAGAGGGCCTACAAGATGGCGCTCTCGTACCGCTCCAACATGGCCGACGTCCACTACAACCTGTGAGTGTGTAAAGACTGCAGGGAACGTTTAAACGTCACCGTCCACTGCTCATTCTCGGTGAATTTCTGGGGAATGGGAGCACTTAAATGTAGTTTCACAGAAATGGCTCCCTTACCCATTTATCAACTGTATCTTTCTATCTAGACATCAGATGCATCCTGATGAAAACGGTTTTGCCGATACCACTGCCATACCTGTGCTGAATTCGTTGGAACGCAGTCACCGAACTCCATTATTGAAACGGAGCTCCGCTTCTGTGCTCCATCCATACTGGGGACATCAATTAGTTTTTATCGTGTCTAGCTGCAGTTGCGGGCACAAATCGAGCAAAAACAGCATACTTATTACACGTACAAGGAAAGGGTGCAATTCGGTGAAGCGTTGTCGCGTGTCGCCGGCCGTCCTGTCAGCACGGCAGCGGTGGACGGTCGGTCTCTGTTGGGCCCTGTCGAACTGGGCGCAGGCAGGCCGTGCAGGCAGTGCCTCTGTGTCAGAGTGCGGACGATCGGTCCCTGTTGGTCCCTGTCGAACTGGGCGCAGCCAGGCCGTGCAGGCCCTCTGTGTCATAGTGCAACAGCCTGATACGGCACCGAGGGACTGGTCAGTAGTCAGCCTCTGTAAGGATACAGGACAGTCAATGACACCACCGAGGGTAGATGTGGGATGTTTCTCATCCTTCCATCGCTTATGAGAAGGATCACCGTTTACTGCTTCATGACGATAACTCAAGAACAAGATTGCCACCGCATACATAGAGATGTCGTCTACCTCACGGATCATTATCGTGTTTGCTACATATAAATTTCACCTTTCTCTCTCTCCAAATCCTCGTTTCATTTTAATTTAGGTATGTTCAGAATGTATCGCAAAGACATCTCCACTCATCGTCTCTCCGCTGTGCCTTAACGATAAACCCTTAACACCTTCTTTATGGTGTCAAAACGTCTGTCAATCATCGGAATCCCTCACATCTCCGGTTGCCGTGTTGCAGAGGAATTCTGTACCAGGAGCAGAAGCTGTACGACAAGGCGCTCCAGTCGTACGACAAGGCGATCCAGTACCGGCCACGGATGGCGATGGCGCACCTGAACAAGGGCCTGGCGCTGGGTCTGTCCGGTCAGAAGGAGGCCGCCGCCGCCGTCTACCGGCACTGCTCCACGCTGGACGGCGCCGGCCTCAAGGACCCGCGCACACACGAGGCCACTAAAATATCGGCTCTGTTCAACCTGGGTCGGCTGTACGCGGACGACGGCAGCTTCCAGGAGGCGATCGCCGTCTACCAGGAGGCCATCGAGCGGATGCCGCCGCACTATCAGCCGCAGGTGGGTCCACAGCGGAGGATGTCGGTTTTTTATAAATTTAGTCCGAACCTTTTGATAGGAAGGATTCACAAGGACAGAGCCACCGCTAAGCGAAGCTTGTTGCGGTGACCCTGCCCTCTACCCTCCGATCGCGCAATTCCAGTTCTATGGCAGAATTTAATGTCCAAAGTTTAACGTGCGCACATAGCCGCGCACGGCCGGTCCCCTCACTGACTTCGCCTGGCTACGGCCTGCCACCAACCGCAACCATACCTGTCAGGAGGCCCATAAATGTCGAGCGCCCGTCGCGCTTCGAATCCGGACTGTTATAACCGGGAACGCGTGCTCTCACCACGCGGAGTCCAACGCTCTACCAACTGAGCTACGGGACCGGCAACGGTTCGCAGGGGGAACTCGGTCCACAGGGGCTGCCGATCCATGGGGGGCTATCGGTCTGCAGCAGGATGTCAGTCCATTGGAGGATGTCGGTCCACAGGGGACTTTCAGTCGACAAGGGCGGTCTACAAGGGAGGGGTTACAGCAGATCTCAGCCCACGGGGAATGACGGTCCATAGGGGAGGGTACAGCGGACCTCCGTTAGCGTCGTACTAGGGGCAACAAATATACTGGAGAGGAACAATGGGGTTGGGGGCTGGTGAGGTGCCATTCCCGTGTATTCGAAGGTGGGTGGCAGAATCTCCGCCGCAGCCGTAACGGTTCTCCCGATTATATTGCATCGTTTACGTAATAAGGCAGCAACTGACCGTCTCATGTTGTGGTTCTTCTGTCACGTTGGCAGTCTTACCTCATCAATATGAATGTTTCGTCATCCTCTTGCCTTTGTTGTTTTCTTGCATTGTCTTAGTGTCGTTATTGGTTTCTCATAAAACCGCTGACATGGCGGTGATCTCAGTTTGGAAATCTTCTGGCCGACCTGTGAGACTATAAAACACACCACATCGAACCGATTTATTTCGTGTCTAATGAACGTCGTTAGGGTCTCCTCCAAATGCAAAATTTGCACGGTCGTTACAGAGAACCGTTCCCGGTACTGAGCCTTCTGAGAGGTACTATCGCCAGCTTTTCTCGGAGAACTACCACTCGGCTGTGACCACATAACCCCAGGGGATCCGTCCGACCCATGTCACCGATTGGCCGTCCGTCTGACCCGCGCGCTCCGTCCCCAGAGCCTGTACAACATGCTCGGCGAGGCGTTCTTCAAGCTAGGAAACCTGTCCGAGGCCGAGAGCTGGTACCAGGCGGCGCTGAGGGCCAAGCCGGACCACGTGCCCGCCCATCTCACCTACGGAAAGCTGCTGGCAAAGGTGGTGAGTGTCCCTGAGCGCTTCTGAGATATAATCCTGGTGTTTTGAATATCCCAAAGTGTCCCGAGTGCGTATCGTCGGGTGTCCCGAATCTCCCGAGCATCTCTGAGTGACCTGAGTGATCCCAAGTGTCCACTAGTGTCCCCCAGTGTTCTGAATGTCCCAATATCTATCTGGTGAGTGATGAACATCTTGCCGAACGGCGTCCCACATGGTGAATATCGCGTCCAACACCGCGCCGTCCCGTTGTGCCTTAACTACCCTACCCTGCCGTTCCGTGGCCCCCCGCCGTCCGCCGTTGTGCCTTAGCTACCCTGCCGTGCCGCGCGGCCGCCCGCCGTCCGTCTTCTGCCGTCGTGCCGCCGCGCTCAGCTCTCTCAGGTGTCCGCCCGGCGCGCGGTCCGTCGGCCGCTTCAATATGCGGCCGGTGTCTCCATCGCTGTGCCGGTGACACCTCTGAGTTACGGTGCTGTACCCGCGCCGCGGAAACATGCTTTTCATGAGCTGCCCGGCGCCGGCGGATGCAGCGATTTCGCAGAACTCTGCCGGGATTTTCAAACACCGTCGTCTCGAAAAGCTGGTGTGAATGACATGGCAAAAAAATAAAGTAGCTGTTCGTTCCGAATTCGGTAGTCATCATAATCATGAGCTCTGCAAGGTCACGAAGCGAACAACCTGCCAATGCAACCTTTGATCCTGGATAGGTCATGAGCGGCTTAGTTGCATAAATTGCTGTGTGATACTGTTATTACATGCATTATTGAGCAGTATTACCAACAAAGCATTAGCAGCTATCCGGTTTGAACTCATCACTGCTTTTAAATTGTGCGAAATAAAGCAGCAGTTTAAGCGATGAATAGTATTGCTAAATGCAGTTTAATTATCCTGAATAATTTCTAGCGTTGGTATTGCTAACTGCGATTTGATTATGCTAAATAACTGCTTGCATTACAATGCAAACAAATCACAGCCATAAGAGTACTGCCGTCTAGCCAGGTCTTTTTCCGATCTCACATTCCACTGTTTGCGTCACTCCGTTTTTTCATCACTGTCGGCGCCGCTCCGTCTCCCCTGCCGTTTGAGCATCTCCCTCCCCCCCCCGCCGTTTGAGTATCTCTTCCTCTCTCCCCACCGTTTGCGCCGTTTCTTCTCCCCACTACCCGTTGGCGCCGCTCCGTCTCTCACGCCACCGTTTGAGTATCTCCCTCTCTCCCCCCGCCGTTTGAGTATCTCTCCCTCCCCCCCGCCGTTTGCGCCGTTCCTTCTCCCCACCACCCGTTTGCGCCACTCGGTCTGCCCCACCGCCGGCCAGTCTCAGTGCGCAGCGTTACCGCGGCGGCGGCAGAAATAAATCACTGTCAGATTATGTTGTCGCCGGCCCGCTGACACGGCAGACGCCATTTGGTGGTGGCGACTGCGGCGCTGGTCGATGGCGGATTCTCGTGTCGTCGGTGACGCCGCCGACACGGGCGCGACGCTGCACCCGTCCGGTCAGCGCTGGTCGGTAGTGTGTGGACCAGCGCTGGTCGCTGAGTTGTGGGCACCCACAAACGGTGGTGGCCCGGGCAGTCACAAACAGTAGCAGTCTGTCAATGGTTGACACATGACAGTCAAAGAGTCGACTAGTTGATCGTTCCGTGCAAAACCCTCCAAAAGTACCGCCGTCGGTCGTCGTCGGCCAACACTCGTGTCACCGCTCGCTCGCACTGACATTTGATGGTGAGGTGATAGCCGTCCGACTCTGCCTTTGGAATGAAATACCAACACGGTGACTGGGGCGACATCGGGGTTCATCTCACCGTCCCGGATGGTACCGTGGTCCGTCCGTACGCCCTATGTTTCCCGTTGCGCTGTGATATAAGCCCTGCGGTCTGTTGACCGTCTTTCTCCTTGCCCGTCGCCGTCTGTTGTCTGCTGTCTCCGTCTCACTGTGTCTTATATGTCTGACTCCATTAGCTACTGTCAGTTGTCTCCGACTTCTGTTCACTGTTCCCCTCTCCTCACAGACTGATGTCTTATGGGCTATGGCTCCGTCAAAATTACATGTATTGCTTATTTTTGTGTGGACGGGGCTGCCAAACACCCAAACAGCTACGAAGAGCAATATGTGCTGCTTGCATGTTATAATAACGGATCTGCCACCCCCTCAATTACTCTCGCTCCCCCGCCATAGCTGCTGACATCTCAACCTCCCCTTCCCTCCCCGCCCTCCCCCCCCCCTCGGCCGCTGACGACCGGCGGCGCCGCGATGACTGATGACGTCCGTTCCGTGTGGCCGCCAGGGCCGCGTGCACGAGGCGCAGAGCTGGTTCGTCAAGGCGCTGGCGCTGTCTCCTACCGACCCGGCCGTCTATCAGCACTACGGTACGTCCGCCGGGGCCTGTCGGCTGGGCGTGGGGACAGGCGGGGCCGCTCTGGGCACACTGAACGGGTCATGGAGGGATGAGACGGGTGTCTGAGAGGTCGGATCAGATATAGGGATTGACTGCAGATAATGGTGCGGTTTGAACGGGGCATATGATATAAAATGGCCGGGAAATGGCTAACAACCAGATACAAGGTCTCGCCTTGTGCGGAGTGTAGCGATTGAGACTCTATGCAGCGACGCGATTGATTCTGAAGGGGACATGTATATTTTATGAGTTTTCGGTCAGCTGGAACGGAGGCGTATTGATTGAACAGTCACGGCGCTCGACAGCGCTCATATGCATGTGACACCAGCTATGTCTTTCTCAAACAAACGGTCTAGACTGCCTTTCACGCTGGTGCCCCGATCTGCTGGTTTAATCCGGTACGAGAGTTTAGCTCTAAGCTGTTTCCTATGCGAAACATATTTCCTATTGCGGATAACTCGTCACTGAAGTTTTTTGAAAGCGGTCGGGTGTGAGATGTGAACACAATCTGGAGCTTCCAACAGGAGTGGTTATACTCTATATTCAAACATCCATTGCACAAACATGGGTATTGCAAATGAGATGAAAAAGGAATTGTGATTTTGCGTCCAAAAGTCTATTGGAGGCAGCATGTATCATAACAGTAGCAAGTAGCAACTCAAGTGGCAGCTAACAACACAATATAACGCACTGGATTGCTGGTGTATGTAGGCATTGAAGAGCTATTTTATCTTTCAAAACATTGCAAAAAACACGTGGCTGTTTCTTTTTTGGGAGTATGGATTATCGAATCATTTGAAAAATTCACGCGGTTGGAAACCGTTAAGAACAAATGGCGATAGAACGCGAAAATGGATCTCTACGGGAAACTGCATTGTTGCATGTAAAAGTAGCCCTGCTGGAGACTGCACCAATGAACACAAAGGTATCCTGAGTAAGGACTGCATCTATGCATACAAAGGTATCCCCTCAAGAGACTGCACCAATGCATACATGCACAAGTATCCTCACAGGAGACTGCGTCATTGCATGTAGAGGCATCCGTACAAAAGACTGCACTAATGCATACTACTGACTCCGGCTTCGGATAAGGTTCTTGTCCAATGTTCGTCCGTTGTCCAAAATTCTGGCTCCTTTCAGTCCGAAATCTGTCCAAAGCATGGTTTTCTTCGAAAGCTGTCCGAAAGCTGGATATGGAAATAGTAGTGCTTGTATCAGAAACGAATATTTCAGAAGTCTTTTTGATGGTCTAAAACTGCTTGTGCCTTGTTATTACCGTAGTTAAGTTGTCTATTAACAAATTACTGTGGAACACTTGATCAAATGGTTATAGTGTGATAAGTGATTTTCCGATTATGTACAAGGCCACCTGACTCTATCCAACCGAATTCCGGATTGGACATTGGACAGAATCGGAATTCCTAAGATCCGAGCCCCGATCGACACCTGAAATACGTACAAGCATCCTCTATGGAGAATGCATTATTGCATACAAAAGTATCCTCACTGGAGACTGCATTATTGCACATAAAAGTATCCTCTCACGGAACTGCATCATTGCAATGCATATAAGGGCATATTTACAGAAACTATATACATCTGCACTCTGCAGGGTCTGGCATAAGTACTGTCCTATCAAAAATGTGCTCTCTTAGCAGCTATATAATTAGAGGCAGTGATTCTTTATAATCCACGAAAACGGATTTAGGTAAGTAGGTAAGACCTTATGAACCGAAAATCAAAACTGTTATTTGCAGCATATGACACATGTTTGATTGGTACTTTTAGGCGTAGAACACGATGGTGACATTCATCTTATGATACAAGTACGTGCTGTGTCGAAAAAAGATCGATTTTAGAAAATGTAGAGCGATGGTTAATCAAAAATCGAATAGGTATAGCCATCTACATAATTGTTCATGGTATTGGCTATCTAATGGCGTGTTATGGCATGCCTCTACGTCTGTTCTGTGCTTATATACCAGACTCAGAAACTCAGAAAAACTCAGAAACTCAGAAATCAGGACGTCACTAAAACCGCGATAGCTAAAAAATTGCGACTGATTTTTTTTAACTTCGTCACAATAAGCTTCAATCAATTCCCTACTGGCAAAATTTGGCGCATTTTTAGCTATAGCGCGGCGAAAAAAGTGGGACGTTTAACGCCTCCCCCCCCCCCCCCAACAACACGAGGGTTAACTGGGACAGATGCCTCTCAGATACCAACTTCACTCTGCACGCCGACCGTTCAGCACAGAAGCCCCTCGGAGGGGCTGTTCGGCCGGCGCCACACGCCGATCGCGCGCCACCATACGCCACCCAACAGCGCGCTACATGGGCGTTACATGGATACATGCATAAGTGGCCCTTTTACAAGCCCACTACAGCGAGTATGGATCTCGAACCAGTCTGCAACCGTTACGAACAATTTTGCTCGGCTAAGCAGCATACCGGACACGATTCCGTGCGAGGGTTGGAATTGAATAAACAATTTATGATGAAGTAGTGTACCGAATTCATTTCAAATGATAACACGACATAAATTAATGATCGTCCTTATCATAGTTTATTAGGTGTCATGTTATGTGATGCGGGGCAAAATGCATTGCATTTCCTTTTATGGGCCTCATCCTAGTGCCTTTGGACGACCAATGGATCATGTCATCCAATAATCTGAGTCGGAATGGGCTGAATGCCCTGTCCGCTGACGGAGTGCCCTGTCCACTGACGGAGTGTCCTGTCCACTGACGGAGTGCCCTTCATTCCCGGGGAGTGCTTGTCGATCGACAGAGTGCTTGTCCCAGAGGCCGTGTGCCGTGCCACTCCTGCCCTTTGATACACAGGACCTGCGCTATTAAAACCCAGCGCCCTAGGAGCGCCGTGGGAGCGACACTGCGACCGGCTGTCATTTTCGGCCGCTGATCGGCTCGGCCTCAGTCGAGCCTCCCATTATCGGTCAGACCCTGCCGGGTTCTCACGGAGGACCGCGGTCAGACGGTGACCTCGTGGTGACCCGGACCCGCTGCCGGCTCTTACCGCTGTCTTGTGATTGTCCACTCGCTGTCCGTTCGTTGTCTGTTCACTCTCAGTCTGCAGTCTGTCCACTATTAGTCCACTTTAGGTCCACTTTGGTCCACTCTCGGTCCACTGTCAGTCGGCTCTCAGTCCACGCTCGGTCCGCTGCCGGTGTCCATTCTCGGTCCACTGTCGGTCCACTGTCGGTTCTTGGTCCGCTGTTGATCCGCTTCCGGTGTCCACTCTCGTTTCACTCTCGGCAGCTACTGTTACCAGTAGCTGACCCTCCCCCCCCCCCTCCCACCGGACGGCGTGTGGTCAGAGGTGCGGTCCGTCCGTCTGTCCGCTGATGTATGCGGGGCAGTGTGTTCTGTCACCGCCGTGCTTCCTGCCGCGGCCTTCCGTGCACTCTGTCGCCGTCCGTCCGTCTGTCCGCCTGTCCGCCCGTCCGTCCGTCTGTCGTCTGTCCGTCTGTCCGTCCTGATGCTGATGTATGCGGGGCCGTGCGTCCTGTCGCCGCCGTCCATCATCGAACACCTGTTGGTCAGGGCAGGCTGTGTTCTCGGGAATCGGCTCAGTTCCGGCACGGGCCGCTGAACGACTGATAAATACGGCGCTTATGGGGCTGTTCATGATGCTATTTTAGCATACGCTGTTTTTGTTTTATGCAGGCTGGTACATGCCTACATTTGTACTTCTGCATAAATAATGATCATCAACAGATGCTGGTTGTTTTTATTGCCTTCAAACATGATTGCAAGCTGTGCATATGTTTATATATTGAGCTTCGGTTTCAAAGCATGACAACTGAATTATAATAAGCTCAAAGCAAAGTACATGCTAGTTGCATGACAACTCAGCGCGTGCAGAGCCATGTCACACGCGCGCCAGTGATGAGGCCATCAGCGGCAAATTTGGCGCTGGTGTGACAACTACAGAGGTAGCTGCGCGTATAGTCATGGTGTAAACTGATCACTTATGCATGTTAGACGTTAACTTGGACGCATCCATCAATGCACCGTTGCGTGCCTCTATCATTGATGAACAAGCCAGTTCAAGTAGAAACTTTCGGTTTTATACCTAATAAAATTTGCTCTTCTTTGCTATCGGAGGAATTACACAACTATAGCTTACAAAAAAATCTACAATTTCTTTTGTCTTTGGGAGTCTATTTGGCACCATTTTTTCAATTGCTGTCAATATATTACTGCTACAATGCCTTTTTACTCATATGTATTTAAACGACCACAGCCGTGATTTTCCAATACATTTTCATGCGACGTTCCATCGTTGTTATTTATCTTGGTCCGGCTTTAAAGGGACCCTCCCACCTTAACATTAGTTTTGAGTTAAAGGGACCCTCCCACCTTAACATTAGATTTGAGTTGAGATAGCCAAAATGGGGTCCCTGGCTCACAATTACCGGTTTCGGCACTCACAACATCGAGAAATGCCTTAAATCGGAAATATTGAATTTCAAAATTGCAGCATTTTGATTCAGAGGGGCTAATGCTTAGGAATACCCCTCTGAATGTGTGACGTCAGCGCAAATATCTAACGATTTTTAAATGTTTGACTAAAACGTTTTGTAGCACGCGGTGGTATATGCTATTTGCGCGCAACATCTGCCGCAAACGCCGCACTTCTAAAATAAAGTCGCTAGAAACAGCGGAGATCCCAAAAAAGTAAACAAAAGTAAAAGTCTAATATCTTGAAAACTGGTGAATATTTTTCGGTGAAATTTGGTAGACATTCGTTTTCGCTCTTTCTGAACCGAGCGACATCACTTTCATGCCAATTCATAAACTTTTTTCAAGGTGGGAGGGTCCCTTTAAGATAGCCAAATTGGTGGCCATGGCCTGAAAATACCGGTTTGGGCATTCACAACATCGAAAAATGCTTTAATTCGGAGATATGGAATTTCAAACTTGCAGTTTTCGGATTCTAAGGGGCTAA